ATAGGGTTTTATTCGAGTTGTGCAGAGCGGCTCGTTTTGGAGGTCGTACTCGTTTAATAAACGAACGAGTTCGGATAGACCTAAAATTTTAACGAGCTATTCGCGAACAAGCTCGTTTAAAAATGTGAACACCAGCTAAAAAATAAAAAAAATAAAAATTATAACATAGAAATTCAGAATTCAATAATTATAATAAGTAAAGGGTTAAACAAAAGGAAAATTGTGATGAAAGGAAATAATAAAATAGTCAGATCACCAGCAAACTCTGTGTTGACAGGTGAACTGATTAATTTGCTTCCTTAAGCTAAAGCTCATGCTGACTTTTTATTACATGACATTTATTATTATTATTATTATTATTATTATTTTTAATCTATGATCAAAAGAAAGACACAAATTCTTCTTTTAACCCGTGTAACTATTAGGTGAGTCGACCCATCATACGTTTTGAAAAAAAAAAGTGCATGTGTGATATGAAATGCAATAGTTTTGTTTATATTAAATTTTAGAGTACGACATTTCAATTTTGAAGTATAGACGTCTGCTTAAAAATTCATTGTTGCGTAACCGTTAGGCCAGTGAATTTTAAAAAAATTCAAGTGAAGTGAAGTTTATGGATTTCTTAAAAGAGACATAATTAAACACAAATGAAGTATTACTCGTCTCAGAAGATAGCTGAATTTAGTTGTTTATTTACTTATTATAGTAGTAACTAAGTATTTAAGTGTACCCTTAACCATACATTTTATTCTCTATTTATTCATATGAAGAGAATAATAAAACTCATAAAAAGTCTTGAATTCATATCATGAAGAGAATAATAAAACTCATAAAAGTCTTGAAAAAAAATATATATATATGTATATATCATGAAACCTGAGATAGGATATGGATGATTGTCATCTCGACCGGATTTGCAAAGAAGTTTGCCGCCAATCGTGACTGTCGAAAGCTTATCTTCACCATAACCGGCCAACTTCACCATCTGTTCTCGGGTCCACAGCCTGGCCAACAGCTCACCCTCTTTTCCGGTGGCGGCAAAAACCGGACTCTGCACGAAGAAGATGATTGAAGCTAAGAGAATAATCATCTTTACTGAGTTTCTTCTCATGAATTGTGTGGTCATCTTTTTCTTGTGTCAATCTTAATAAATGGTGTTTTTGTTTTTTTTTTTTTTCCTTGTGAAGTTGAGACTTCGAATCCACTCAAGATGAGGAAGAAGGGACACTGAAATTGGAGCTAACTATCCTATTGGACGGGTATATGTATATAAAGGTGTCTGAGGATTTTTTTTCGACAATGTTAAATTTACAAAAATGCCCCTTGATCGAATGCGTGTTTGGGAAAGATTTGGAAGCGTCGTATTATGAGAATGCGAATGAATATGAGATAGAAACCTACTAATAATGAGAGTTATTGATTCAAAATATAAACAATAGAACAACAATAAAACATGATTGGATTGTGGAAGATATTTTTGTGTCAAAATCTTTTAAAATGAATAACATTTACTCATTTTTTTAATAGACTTTTAGATAGATTAGCTACTACTCAAATGATCCAATGCCATATAACTTTTGTTCGCACGACGTAAGAACGTATGTAGGAAGAGTTTTGGGCTGCTCTTTCGAATGACGTTTGTCGGCAGAACTCAAGAGTTTTGGGTTTCTCTTTCGAATGATGTTTGTCGGCAGAACTCAAAACAACTAACTGTAACGTTTGTGTTTGAGCTTGAAATTGCTATTATAATATGTTTTCGAAAACAGAACGACAATTTTGATTCATTCGTTATAGTTATTAGCATGGTGTAATAACTAATAAGCGATCTTGCGCCCAAATTCCATCAATTATATAGCCATTTATTCGTTTCTAACATTTTCTATTTTTGTTTCTTTCGTTTATGATTTAAAAACTTTTTATATACGCCTCTAAAACTTTGTTTTGGGGTAACCGAGTATACAGTGTTCTACGTTGTTCATATCATCTCGTATTACCATCTTTTTATCATACTCATAATTCGTATCAATTTTCCACAAGTCTCTTAAGAAAATGTCGATTAAAAATAGGGCGACCGAGTCAAGACTGCGTCAACGTTCAAACATGTTTGAAGGGTTAAAGAAGTCAATGCAGCCCCATATCACTTTCTGCAAATCCATTTCCTTGAAGTTGCAAAAGCCCGTATGGAATATAAGTTGAGAATTTAGCAGTGTAAATTAGACTATTCTAACTCTATTTGAAGGCGCTATTATACAATTGGTCAATTGATCACACACATTTATGATGAATAGGCCCAAGGCTAAAACAGTCAATGTACCCCTACTTGAATTTCTGATTTTTTTTTATTTTTTTATTTTTTATTTTTCGTGAAGTGACTTGCCGTGTAGAAGAATCTAGAGACTGATTAAAATTTGAATGATTAAGAATTAAATAGAAATAGATTGGTGGCCTAATTTCATTTATTCATCCGAGATAATTATTTTAGATACTTTAAATTTCAATGGAATGGTCGTTGAGCGATGAGTTGAAATCATAGGTAAGATTCCCACCAATAACCCTATCAAAAATTATGACATGATTATTTCGAGCCTTTATCCAGTAGAGTTCTGATTGAGCTGATAAACAAGATCATGTTCACCTAGTTTATCAAAATTAACGAGAAAGACTCGAGTCTTACCAAGTCAAGCTAAGCTAATAGCTCGAAAAATTGCTTAAAAACTCTAGCTTCTCGAGCCTAGCGATCTTTAATGAGTGGAGCAGAGGTTGAACCCACCTCATCTATCAAACAAGTTGAACCAAACTCAAGTTTTAACGAGCCAAGGGCTCATGAGCGGATTGATTTAGCATAGGGAACTATTAATCTAAATGTTAAAAGATTCAAATTAGCCCTCCTTTGTGCGTGTGTGAGACAGTGAGTCAAAGTTAAATCATGTAAATATTCTTGGGTAAACAAGAAAATTGACATTGAAATCTAGCCAAGCCTCCGCCCCAACTAATGTTTCAACTTTCAACCTTCATATAAACTTGCGTTTGCAAAAGGTTGGAAAATAAGTAGTAAACGTGTTGGAATTGATTAAAACGCCGTCTAACCATAAGAATTGCCGACTCGTCATAATTGTTCATAAAAAAATGCATATTTATGCTATGACATGTCATACTTTTGTTAGGCAGGTAGTTTATAAAGTATGAAGTTTCGGGTATCTGTTGAAAAAGTATGAAAACCAATAGACCTATTATCAATATTAGTAAGATTATTGATAGGCAGACGTAACACCAAAAATTGTGAGACGATATTTGAGCTTAATGATACTTTATTACAATATTTTTCTAACGAGGTCTTACCTTTTGAACACGAAGCACCTATTTTTCAATGCAGAGAACGGAAATACGCACACAAATGCTAGCAACACTAAAGACTTGCTTTCAAAACGTTGAATATGTAGTTAACCTCAGAGTGAATTCCGACCAAGATCACGGCTGTTGACGTACAGGTAAGCATTCTTCTGAGAAAATCCAGTGGATGTGGGCAATGGTGAAAATCCAGAATAGATCCCGTTTTTCTTGGATTCACACACAGCAGCAATTTTCTTGGGAAGGTCGTGTTTTTGTACAAATGGTTGGGCTACATATTCTTCGTAAGGCATCCACTGAGGAAAACAAAAACAAAAAGATTTGAAAAATAAGAAACAGTCCATCGTGTCATATATTATAAGTATCATGTTCCTGCTAAACTGATGTGTCTATTTTGCTATTTTTTGTAGCATATTGTTGCAAATTTTTATGCTTTGTGTGGCAAGTGTAGTGGCTTTAGAACCTTAATTATAAGAGTTTGTTAAACATGTCAATTAAATTTATCAGCATTACACGAAAGAAAATCTAAAATGGTAAAAAAGTCTTTTATATTTGTTTCTGTTTTACATTTGCACCTTCAAAGGAGAGAGGTATATGTCGATAAAATCAGAACTTAAAGTGGTAGTTAAATAACTAAGCTAAATCTCAAGGGTAGTTTTCATAATCATCGCTTAATTTAATTCAGCGAGCCTTCTCAAGAAATGACAAACTCTGATATGATTCTAATACATTTACTGTCACAATATTGTGACTAGTTATTTAGCTAATTAAATTGCATGTAAACACTACAAATAAAATACAATTTGGTTAAGCCGTTGAGGACAATGATAATCTTGAAAACTGACCTGGGCTGCCTCTATTTCTGCTTCCTGAGGCTGAATCTCCAGAGAGAGTGGTTGCATCATGCACAAGAAAAACAAATCCGATTTCTCGAAATATGATTTGTGGCTCTGTCTGGGGTTCAATTCACTCATTTTAGTAATACAGCAAGAAAATCCAGAGAAAAGAATAAAAAATAAGCCATTCAAGGAAATCAATCTCAAGGGGCATTAGTTATTAGGGCGTGCTTGGATACAAATATATCCGCTCGAATCAAGTTTTTTTGGTTTACCAGAGTTAATTTTAAAAAATGTGGTATGATTAGTGAATCAAAGTTGGTGTGATGTGTAAGAATGATTGATAAATATTATTTAATTATATTGATAATATTGAGGATAGTGGGAGTGAGTTAGAATTTGAGTATGGATTGAATATGAATTGAGTTATTTTATAAACAAGCATGCCCTTAATCCCACAAACATTGGTTACAAGATAAACAAACTTACCTCAAGAATACCTACACACGGAAACAGAAAATGTACCAAACTCTTTGATTTTCTCTTTCACTGAAAGAAAGGGACTCTCAAGTCTCAACATTAAAATACTAAGCATAGTTAAGATAACCGCAGCATGTTACAATTGACTGCCACATTATCAAATGAGAGTGTTAGTTGAAAAAATGACTTGGGTATAAAGACTTTAAAGAAGATGTATTTTTCAAATTTAGAAAATACCCATCTTCGGTTTCTCTTTTAACCAAAATATATTTCATGGGCAGCTTTCGTAATTATTATCCCTCCACCACCTAAAAATTTACAGGCAAAGAGCTATA